ATATGCTCTTCGAAGATTTTGGTGGCCCTTGTAAGTATGTTAGATTGAATTATATCATTTCTGAAAAACGAAAACAAAAATTTAAACAAAGAATCAAAGTGCCTAATATTAAATTTACACTCGTTCTTGAACTGGAATACTTATCTGACAGACTTTTCAGTTCGTAAGCCTGGAAAAAAACTAACGATAAGAAATCCTGGGATGGCTGAGATAGGTATGTGAGTTGGCGTGCTTGTATATCCCTTAGTTATTTTATCCAATTGATGTCCCTGTTAATTTGTATGATAACAGATTTGTACTTACTATTCTTGAAATTTGTTTTAGCTGCATGTATGTATTATATTGCCTTGTTTAAAAGAGAGAAATAATCATTAAAGAAGTAGCTACAACTCATAAATGAGTTAATGACTAATATTTGGTAACTATCCAATACAAGAGGGAACTTTTGTTTTGTCTATTTTGGAGCTGTAGCAGACATAATACAGCAGCAGCCGACAAGCTGAGCAACGCGACTACACAAAATCTAAACAAAACAATAAGTTCCGGGGAAATCGGCTTTTAGGATTACTTAATCGTAGGAATCCTAGCACCGGCTTCTTTCGATCGTTTTCAAAACTTATGATTATATAATATAACGATGCCACGACTGATGATTACAAATACAAACACAATGCCATGCACTGATTAGGTATAGGGAAACTGTTTATCCATTAGTCCATGAGTCCATCATTGCCTCCTCCCAGTTCATGTGGTCGGTATTACCGACACAATAACGTGCATTCGAGATTCGAGATGATTCACTGAGAGGGAATTGGGAGAGCCTCTCTACCGACTGGAGATGACTTGTCACTAAAAGCGGTAGCTCTGCTTCCATTGCAGCAGGACTGCCTTCCTGCTGGACTGGAGGCTATTTTCTCCCAGTCAGGAGCGCTGAGCCACTGGCCCAAGCAACAGAGCCACCACAGTGGAAGCTACTTTCTTTTAATAGGTTAGGAGAGCTGTCTCATGACACTTTTGAGCAGCTGCTCGCCTAGATTGGGAAAGCAGCTGTACTAGGTAGGAGAGAGGCGCCACTAGAGCTATGGTGGCGCGTCTCTTCTGTATCCAAAGGAGCAGCCCCACCAATTCCCTCTCAGTGTGTGAGTCCTTCTGTTGTTGAGTATCCTNTGACACTTTCGAGCAGCTGCTCGCCTAGATTGGGAAAGCAGCTGTACTAGGTAGGAGAGAGGCGCCACTAGAGCTATGGTGGCGCGTCTCTTCTGTATCCAAAGGAGCAGCCCCACCAATTCCCTCTCAGTGTTGAAACTCGATGGAATTTTGTTTTGTGTTTTTAAGTAGCCTGTCTCCCTTCAATAATTTTCAGTTTTTTTACACATCCTTTTATGATTACGCTAAAGCGCTATTAGAACTTTTGCAACAGATTATTAAAAAAAGTACGTGTTGTGTTTCTCTTGAAATAATTTAAACATATTTAGTTTCAATACATGTTTAATTCTTATGGGTCTTTAAAAAAAAAAAAAAAAAAAAAAAGCATAGATGGGGAGAATCACGTCAACTGTCCGGAAAACAGATCTTTGTCTTGAATTTCCTTGCTGGACAATTACAATGAGCACATATTTCAACTCGAATCATCCTGCATCATCAGCTAGAGTAGAAGCGTACTTTAGTGACTTTAAATCTTCTATCACTAAAGGTACACTCTTGAGAGAAGATTTGCTTGTAGCCATGCATTGTCGCCAGATTGATAATGATGTCAAATTAGCCAGAGGAACATTGACAAATTTACATTTGTAATTTTTAAAAGAAAAAGAGGATCAGGAAGTAAAAATTAACATACAACAAAAAGCAGTAAAATCAAGAAACATGAATGCTTTTGATCATTTACATGATATTGAAAATTGGAGAAATAAGTGTGCTCAAGATGAAGAAATCGATGAAATATTTACACATGAGATCCCTACTAATAATAAATGAACAGATGTCATTTACCAAGAGCCAATAAATGAAATAACCAAGGATGACGTATCAAACCTTGAAAAGTCCACTAATGAAGAAAAACTGAATCTTTGTAATCAGTTAATTGACCCTAAGATAATTGACCTTATCACTGTTGAAAAAGAATGCACAAGTGATCACGACTTCTTGTATTTTTTGGAGAACGTACAATTTTCTTCCTCCACTTGTCAAAGTCCTATTCTTAGAAATCTAAAAAAAGAAAAAATAGTGAACACATCAAGTAATTCTCTAGCAAAAAATCTACCATCGATAAATGCTTTACCTATCTTGGAGAGTCAGAAAAAAAGAGGAAAATACTTAACACCAGATCCAGAGCTGTATTTAAAACTGCAAAAACCTGTAAATAGTAAAAAAGCAAAGAGCAAAGCTATTCTCCAGAATGGAAATAATTTAAAGTCTAGATTTGTTGAAGGTTTGAAAATAGGATTGAGAAATACTTGTGCTTATGACGCTCTCTTAGAAATATTGAGCCATACGTGTTGCAATATCACACTTTTTAAAGATTCAATTGAAAGTTTCAGAAACATTTCTATGGCTGCTCGTTACTTGTGTTTCTTCACAACGATTTTAGATTGTAGCATCTCTGGACCCACCAATGTCACTTACATTGTCCGAGCTCACATTCTGAAGNTTTTTTTTTTTTTTTTTTTTTTTTTTTTTTTTTTTTTTTTTTATTAAAAGTTTTGTATTTTTCGTAACATTAACGTTTTCCAACATTTTTACACACGTATTTTTTTAAGTGCTCTGGTCTGTGCTTATTGAATTCATATTATTCAAGGTATTAATTTTGTAACAGATAAAGTTTTTACAAGAAAAGAGTCCAAATGTTAAAGGTTTAGAAAATGTAGAAATAAATGAAAATTACCATCAAAATAGCAAAGAGGACTCTGCTCTTATCAACCTGTGTAATAATTTAGAGAATGAAAGAAATGGTGAAGTATCTTTATTGACTACTGAAAATACTAAGTTGAAAGATAAACTACAAAAGATGGATGACTTTTTAACACCGAAACACGAGTTGAAAACGTCGTGTTTGACGCCCGCGCGGGCCGTCCACCGCGGCGCTGGGACAGTTGACGTGATTTTTCCCAGATACATAAAAAAGAAAATCTGGAAATAAAAAAAAATTGATAAGAACTTACTCGTACAAGTAAACAAAGTTTTACGGCCATTTAAAAATGTTTGCAATGGATCCCCTGATACATACACACTTACAAACATACTATATCAAAATGTGAATATTTCATTATTACGTACTTCAATTATAAAAACTCAAGTTATATTATCGTTTTAAAAATTTATATTGATTATAAATAAGTGGTAAATAAGTCTAGAGCCTCATTATCAAGAGTGTTCAACATAAAATGGTGTGAATTTTTTNATTCAAACAGTGAATATTTCATTATTACGTACTTCAATTATAAAAACTCAAGTTATATTATCGTTTTAAAAATTTATATTGATTATAAATAAGTGGTAAATAAGTCTAGAGCCTCATTATCAAGAGTGTTCAACATAAAATGGTGTGAATTTTTTCAATAAATACTATTTGACTCTTTACTATTAATCCTAACGTGTTATTGTTTTATAATTTTTTAGTACGTGAGCTTTTTCCGCTCTGCGGACACACAAGTATCAAGCCACAAGCCCCCAGAGCGCATGCGCAGTTGATATACATGATAGAGATGAGGTTAGCTTTTAGACCAGTATTATATATTAATTGTTAATAAAAAACTAAGCTAATATTTGCAAATGTAAGATAAGCTCAATTTAAATCAGAAAAGGTTCATTTTTTATAAGCCAACGTTGTATCGAAAAAGAAGTGTTTTCCAAAGATATCGGAGGTTTAAAACAAGACAACTTGGCAACTGTTAATAATTTTTTTCTACAAAATTTATGAGGGTTCAATTTAAACAAACTGTGTAATCAGAGGGTGTATTTTTTTGTTCCTTTTAACNAAGCCAACGTTGTATCGAAAAAGAAGTGTTTTCCAAAGATATCGGAGGTTTAAAACAAGACACCTTGGCAACTGTTAATAATTTTTTTCTACAAAATTTATGAGGGTTCAATTTAAACAAACTGTGTAATCAGAGGGTGTATTTTTTTGTTCCTTTTAACTGTATTTTTTTTATTTTATTTTTTTAATACTTTCTTGGGTTGGGGGAGAGGGGGTCCGAGGGTGGTCAAAATTTTAACCAGCTGCCACTCGCACTTGAGTTGGGGAAACATGATTCGTAGAGATCTAAAATATTTTGGTCATATTTCATTCTGGTGAAGAGTAATGTCGTAATCATAGTAGTGCCATATGGTCTTTTTAATTAACCAGCCGCAACTTACACCAATAGATAGAAATAAAAGTTGTCAAGTGAAAATGTCATTTGCGGCAAGATTAAAATGCATCTTGTACCCGAAAATCGACCTACAAAAATATAGATATTTTATTCTTATCTATAACGTTATCTACAGTGCCTTATATATTATCTTTTAAGTATTATAGATAAGATCGGATACGGGGTCTATTTTTTTGAAGGTCGATTTTCGGGTACAAGATGCATTTTCATCTTGCTGCGAACGGCATTTCCTTTTTTTATTTTATGTTTATTGCTCTAAGTTGCGGCTGATTTATAAAAAAACTATACGGCACTTCCTAAGTACCAACAAAACTCTTCACCAAAATGAAATATGACAAAAATATTTCGGATCTCTACGAATCATGAAGGTCCTCAATTCTGGTGAAAGTGGCGGCAGGTTAAAATTTTGACCACCCCTTTGGCTTTGGCCTCAGCTCTTGGTCTACCGGGGGAAACCGAAGAGAAGTCATGCCAAGTCAGGCATGTGACTGCAGCCTCACACAAGCTTACCATAAATGAACTGTCACCACTGGTCACCAGTCACTTGCAAGTAGAATTATTATGTGACCAAAGCAGTACCACATTGTATTTGTATAGAAGTTCGTCCATTAAAAACTTCGATAGCGATTGTTGATTTTGAGCGCTCAGTTTAGTCTAATAATGTTTAAGAAATTTAAAGATAAGCTCACTGAGGAAATGAAGCAGTCTCCTGCCAGGCTGCATGCCAGCATGCAACAACTAGCACAGGTTCATCATTTTAAATTGATCAATGAATTCCATTTCTTCACAGTTTTTTTTTTTTGTTTTGGTAAAGTTGTTTGTGCGTTACGAAAGAAATTAAAATTGTATCATTGAAAAACTCAAACTTATCTGAGTAATAAAAAAAAAAAAAAAAAAAAAAAAACATTTTTATCTGAAACAAATTTTGTTAATGATAGGCCGTCTCGCCGTCGTTATCAAACAGCTCCTTTCAAGATTTGTCACTATCCAGGGATAACTTCAGTCTAAGTGATCAAGCAGACGGTAACTTTTATTTATTTATTAATATTTCTGCGAGAATTTCGAGGTACGAAATAATATTGATGCAGTCGATGCAGTAAGTACATTGTGTTAGGTAGCTGGTTTAGCCCTACTATATTCTTTACAGTCACATTAGTTGTTTGAGTTACGTATTATACATAGAAATGCAGTAATAAAATTATTCTGTTCAAAGTTAAAAATGATCGAATCAATTTTCTGTATAGTACATCGACTGTATATACCATAGTGTAATTTCCAATGCTGAGGATAGTAACCTTGCTTCTAAATTTTTTACTGCTAAGTGAAGTGAATTTTTTGGCTTAGCAAAATGTCAAAGTTAAAAAGAGTAACCATTTAATTGTAGGAAGTCAGGGAACTGTTCTACTTGCTAAGATAATTATTTTGGTTCATTCAATTTTAGAAATACCAAAAAACAGTCCGGAGAAACATGACTTCCAAACTGTTGATTTGACATCCCCACCTGTAATTTCCAGTACATCAAGGAGATCATCTGTTAGTAGCAACGTCAGTGATAGGTCTTTCCTGTTTTCCACTTACGAGAGTCCTGGTGTGGTATACCACACACAGGTAAGTTCGTAAGCACGTGACAAAATTAAAATTGCTAACACATAAAGTTCAGTCTTCAATGATGTGAGAATTGTTATAACGATTCAGTCAGACATGGATCAGTCTGCAAGTGACATCGACGAAAGCATCAGTTCTCAGTTGGATCGTGTTTCCAAGGAACAATTGTACACTGCATATCGTAAAGCAAAATGCAAGTATGACAAATACAAAGGAAGATACACAAATCTTGTTAATCATCATGGTGGAATAGAAAGAGAAAAATCAAAATTGGAAAGTCTATTAGTTGAAACCCAAGATAAAGCACTGAGGCGCATAAGTGATTTAAAAGAACAGTGTCAGTTAGAACAACAGGCCAAATCAAATCTGGAGGATGAATTGAGAAATGATATTGAGGAAAAAGATCATATTATAAATTCTTTGAAAACTAAAGTAAGCTCTTTTTAGTGTCAAAATTTTAATGTCATTCTCTGAGACTTTGGCACTTGTAAAATTTTAATTGATCTGTTTTTTTCTTTTTATTTACTAATCGTTTTCTCTTTTAAACTNTTTTTTTTTATTAAAAGTTTTGTATTTTTCGTAACATTAACGTTTTCCAACATTTTTACACACGTATTTTTTTAAGTGCTCTGGTCTGTGCTTATTGAATTCATATTATTCAAGGTATTAATTTTGTAACAGATAAAGTTTTTACAAGAAAAGAGTCCAAATGTTAAAGGTTTAGAAAATGTAGAAATAAATGAAAATTACCATCAAAATAGCAAAGAGGACTCTGCTCTTATCAACCTGTGTAATAATTTAGAGAATGAAAGAAATGGTGAAGTATCTTTATTGACTACTGAAAATACTAAGTTGAAAGATAAACTACAAAAGATGGATGACTTTTTAGAAGAGTATAAAGAGATGTTAGAAAAAAATGAAGAAAAAATTTTTGAAATTACAAATGAAAAAAAAATTGTTGAAAGGAATTATAACATTTTACAAAAATCAAGCCAAGAAAAGCTTGAAAATATGGAAATTGAATTGAATAGTTCAAAGAAAGAACTTGAACGAGTAAAACAAGATATTAATATCTTAAGAAAGCGAGAAGAAGAAAGTACTCTGTCATTGGCAGAAAACAAATTATCCATTCATAAAGAACTTGAAGGCAAAGAGGAAAAAATTAAAAAGCTTGAATCTGAGGTGAAAATAATGCACAAGTTTAAAAAATCTTTGGAAGAAACCCTTGAGTTGCAAAAACAAGAAATAGAGAGAGTAAAAATACTTGCAAATCAGAAGGCTGAAGAAAGCCAGCAGCATTTAAAAGTAAAATTAGAAACGTTACAACAGAGAGAAGAGTTACAGCACAAATTAATTGATGTTGAAAAAGAGTTTAGCTTAAAACTTAACGAAGAAGTGAAGCAAAACAAAGAACTATCATTAAAAGTTAAAGTTTTAAAAAAGCAATGTGAAGAACAAAAGTTTAGAGAAAATGAATACAAAACTATGAATGAAAATTTAAAGAGAGAAATAGCCCAACTTACCACATTTAAAAGGAATATTGAAATATCCATTAGTGAAATCAAAACTAACTATGAACAAGAAATAGAAATATTAAAGGATGATTTGATCAACAAAAACAATGTTTGCAATGATTTAAATAAAGAAATGCAGGATTACATCGAAACTATTGAGCAATTTAGGCAAAAACTACAAAATCAGAATGAAGAAATAAAAATCTTAGAAATCAGATCAAGCCGTCATGAGGATATTTTTAAACTTCAGGAAGAGCTTGAAAATAAGAAAACTGATATTTTGGGATTGTGTAATGAACTCAAGTCAACCTCAATAACAATAAATGATCTCAAAAACGAAATGAGTGGTGTAGTTAATCATAAAAATAGTTTATATAAATGTTTGGAAATGTGTAAAAAGTTTGTTAAAGATTTAAAACAAGATTGTATAATATTAAAAAAAGATGTAAATAGTAATTTAAATAATGTGAAGAGTGCAACAACTGAAATTATAGGGGAAATTGTAATAGTTTTTTCATTGATAAATGAGAAAAATAATTGTCTCAGATTTCAACTGAACGATTTGCACAAAAAAACAAGTGCAATGCACGAGCTTCAAAACAGTTGTAGCAACAGCAATACGCAATCGGAAAAAATATTTGACGAAAAAATAATTTTGAAAAAGGAATTGGCAGAAAAGCTGAGTGAGATCGGAGAAGTGAAAATAAAAATGAGTTATCTGGACAAACTCGAAACAAAGAATAAAAGTCTTACATGTGATATTGAAAATGTGACTGAGAAGTTGAGTGAAGTAGACGAGTTTGCTGAAGAAACAGTCAATCTAACGAATGCACTGAAATCAGAGAAAAATAATCACTACACTGTTTTGGAAGACATCAAGCAACTTCAGTCAGAACTCACTTCTGCAAAAGTGGAACCAGACAAAAGGTATATTGAAGTCAACAAATTGCAAGTGCAAAATAGGCAACAAGAGCAACAATACTCTGTAACAAGAAATGAACGTATAGAATACAAGCATCTATTTGAAGAAAATAGCCATAAATTGTCTCTGCTGAACAAAGAATTGGGAAATTCGAAGATAGCCATAGAAAGCTTAACTACCGAGTGGGAAAAATCCAAAGATTCTTTGCAGAACGCCCTTGAAAGTAAAACTCATTTGCTGCAAAAATTAGAAGCCTTTGAGGAAAAATTTCAAAAAACAGTGGAAGAGAAAAAGAAAGCTATGGCCAATTTGGAGCAGGAGAAATTAAAAGTAAAGACTGCTGAGGAACAATGGAACCAGTCTTTGAATTCAATGGTTGAAGAAAACGAACGACTGAAAAAAAAACATCAATTCTTTGCAGGACTAGAAGAGGAGCTGAAGGTAGGAAAAATTTTAATAGAAGCACTAAAAATCGAAAAGGATAAGGTCACTGGTAGATTCGAAGAGTTGAAGTTGGAATGCGAGTTGCTATGCAATGAAAATAAAAGTCTTAAGGACAATCAGAATGATTTGCTGAAGGTGAACAATGTTTTTAACCAGACTCAGAGTGACTTAATGAATAGGCTTCAAAAGTTAGAGAAAAAAAATAGCGACTTGATTGAGGAACGAAGTATAACTCTGCAGGAGTTAGAAACCTGTAGGTATAAATTGAAAATTAGCGATAACGAATTAGAAAAACTCAAGTCACAACTGGAAAGAGTGAAACACAAAAACAATGAGTTGAGTGCTTTTATAGATGAAGCTAAAGAATTTGAGCTAATCAATTCGAATCTTCGGGAACAGGTCAAGGCTCTGACAAAAACAAATGACTCCCTAAGCTTAAAAATTGATATTTTGACAAAGAAACTATCCAGTTTACAAGATCGTACAGTGGAAAATGAAAAATTAACGATTGAAGTACATAATTCCAAAAGTAAAATCGTCGAATTAGAAGAATCGTTGTCTTCCAGAGTCCAAGGGTTAAGTGCTCTTAGTAAAAATGCACAGGAAGATAGTCACAACTTTAAAATCGAACTAGAAGAAAAAAAGAGGTTGTTGAAAGTCATGAAGTCCAAAAACACCGAACTTTTAGAAGAAATTGAGAAGCTATTATCGCTAAAATCAAGAGTTGAAGAGAAATCGACTCGAGAAATAGAAGAATTGCACAAAAATTTTATACATTGTGAGACAAGATTAGCTGAAAAAAATTCCTTGATGGAAGATTTGCAAAAAAAGTGCACAGAATTAGAAAGAGAAATAACAAACAATATCAAACATGAATCGAATTGTGAGGAATTGTCGAAAAACGTGGAATGCCTCATGCAAGAAAAAATAAAATTAGAATCCCAGCTGGACGAGACTCTGGTTACATTCCAAGCAAAAGAATTGCAAATGCAAGCATTCAATGATGAGTTGCGAAATAAAATTCTTGAATCAAGGGAGCAGTTGAAAAACAATGAAGATGAACAGAGTTTGAGATTAAAGCAAATTTCAAAAGAATTTCAAGCTCAACTTTATGACAAAGAAAAAGAATTGCAGGCTGCATTAAAAAAAAAATATGGTAAGTTTTTAGCTGAAATAACATTTATTTGATTTTAAGCCAAATAATTTCATTCATCTGTGCTACAGATCATCGAAAAAATTATGAATCAGATACTACACAAGAGTACAAAAATCAGTTAAAAGATTTTCAAATAGAACTCACAAAAAAATCCCAACAAATTGTGAATTTAAAAGTCGAAAACGAAAAACTCTTAAAGGAGTCACAGGAAGAAGTCAAAAAGCTTTCAGCAGTTATCAACCAAATCAAGTCACAACATATAAAAGAAATGCAAGAAGTTGATAAGAAGTGGAAAAACTTTATTCACCTCAAGACTAATAATTTGGAGATCAAACATGAACAACAAGTTGCAGAACTAACCACTGCGTGGCAAAATGAACGAAAAGTATGTATTAATCGTTTCAAAAAAATTTATATTCTTATTCTTGACTGCTCAATTGTTTATTTATTCATTCATTCATTTATTAACCTTTTAAAATAATGTCTTTCAGAGTGATGAAAATAGCGATGTTACTGATAAGGTGATTCATTTTTTTTCCTTTTCATTTAGCATTGGCAATGCGTAAAGAAATAATGCCCTATTACAACTAAAAAAAGCATTTCTTATCAATTGCATGAATTATATTATAAACAAGTGGCTAAATTTGTGCAAAAACTGCGTTTTTGCATTTAAGGCACGACTGATTCGAAGGAATATATTACTTATATTGGTACTTGTAGGGTTGGTAAATAAATGTACATATTCCCACGCGATGAAAAAAAGAAAGCCTTAGAACACAATGATTATCGCCCTTAACTTTGCATTGAGTGTCAATCGTATGTATTCTGAACAAGCCAGTATTACATTGTTTATTGCGATTTATGGCGTTAATTTTATCTTACAGACATAAATTTTAGTTTAAAAAAAGTTGTATTTTTTCAAGATCTTTGAGTTTTAGATTAACTTTGTAATCTGAAATTTAAATTTAAAAAAACGAGTAAGTTAGATAAGGGAAAACGATAAATTTACAATTTTTCAGCATTTTTGCGATTTAGAGCCCAAATTTAAAATCATAACTAAATATGTTGAATACAAAAAAGTTGTATTTCGACGAGACCTTCAACTATCACGTTTAATTTATAATTTCAATTGCAAAACAAAAAAGTTAGATAAGGGAAAACGACTTTTTATTCGTTTTACAAGCACTTTTTGGCTCATAGAACGTGTGCGTTACATCCTAGGTAAAAATGTTTTACACAAAACAGTTGTATTTCAATAAGATCTACAACTTTAACGTTTAATATCATAATTTAAAGTACAAAACAAATAAGTTAGATAGGGAAAAACTACATCTTGGCGATTTTTGAGCACTTTTGGGCTCACAGAACGTTTCGGTTACATCCTGGACGAAAATTTTAAATTCGAAAAAGTTGTATTTTTTAAGTATATCTACAACTTTGTCTTTCACAGCAAACCTCGAAAATATCACGTTATCCAAAAAAAAATTTTTTTTACTGAAAGTACCATCTTAAAACTACTGCCATTTCTTTTCTCAAACAAGAAACCTTCCGAGTTTTAAACCATCACGTAAGACATAAAAGATGAAGCTATTTGGCAAATTTCAGCCGAATGTGACAAAAACTGCATGAGTTAATAAAAAAAACTTGATTACGCCCACACATACATACACACACCCCTGACGCTGAGGTCCGCGATCGCAATTTTTTTTTTTACCAAAACTTTTTACATAAAAATAATTAGTTTTAAAGGTACTTACACTTTTTGCTCTAGCAAAAATATAAGGCACTCCTAAGTATCAATCGTGCTTAAAAACAGATGGGTTTTCCTTTAACCTGCACAATGTTAACTAACAATATAAAACCATCAAGTATACATTGATGATGAGACTTAAGTTAATTAAATTATGTAAGATGGAATACATTGAACTAACTATTTATACTATTTGATATTTTTATTCCTTTGTACTTCCTACACTGTTTAAAAGACTAAAAACATAATTATGCATGCTAGTAGAATATTGAACAAAATAATATAATGCCTCGAGTATTGTGAGTGAAAAGTCAATTTAAATGAACTGCGGTTTCAACATCATTATAAAATTACAAATGTACAATTATTTAAATAACTTTTTATTCTGTTTAGGAACTAGAAAATACGACTAGGGTTGCAATGGCAACCGTGCAATCTAATACTAGCTCGTTTCATACACTCCAACAAACATTGTTATCTCAAAAGCGAGAATTGGCTGAGCTTAGGAAGTTACTTAAAATAAGGCAAGAGTCTGTTGAAGACTCAACAGAAGTTAAATATCTCAGAAATATACTGTTTAAGTATATGATGGGAAAGGAGACTATGGTGCTTGCCAGGGTTATTGCCGCTGTTGTTAAATTTGATCAAGATCAAACATCAAAAATTTTGAAACGTGAAGAAGACAGACAATCACTGGTAAAAGTAATATAATGAATAAACAGTGTCTTGTTTAATTTACTTAAAATTATAAGAATTTATTCATTTCAGCTGGGATCGCTAGGTTTAACATAACATACTCCAGCCATTCCCATCCATTTAAATCACAATTATTTGACCATGAATATTGCCAGTGTTAACTTTCACTACATCAAGACAGCTATTTTACTGACTGCCCTTTTTATATGTTCAAATGAGCCGTCAAACCAATCTTAATACAAATTATTCATAGTTATGATTTTATTGTTAACATTTACTTTATACAAGATTATTTTGAATAGGTATAATGTATTAAAATATTTTAATTCTTTTAATAATGTCAATTACTGTTGATAAATAAATTTTTTTATTTAACTTTGTTGTGTCTGTTGTGTCTAACTACACGGAGGGAAAAATCATGGAGCAAATGTATTGGGATTATGCCTCTACCACGTGACCTCAGTGTATATATGACTAATATAGAGGAGAAATAACACAGGTCTTATGGGAGGAATCTTGTTTTTATTTTTTTTCGCACTTACAAAGATATTGAGCTTTAAAAGGTTGTTAATTCCATGTTACTGACATAATGAAAGTTACGTAGTTATTTTTTTCCTTTGGTGAATTCGTTTATGAAGGTTGAAACAGCGTTTTGAACGTATACGGAGTGCCGTTTAACCCTACTGCTGCTGATGCTCATGAGCATCTCTGCAGAGATAAACAAACAGCTCAAGCAGCCAAACTGGAGCCACCAAAACCCCCTAAGAAGAAGAAGAAGAAACAAACAGCTCAAAGTAGGGTTAAACGGCACTCCGTATGCGTTCAAAACGCTGTTTCAACCTTCATAAACGAATTCACCAAAGGAAAAAAATTAACTACGTAACTCTCATTATGTCAGTAACATGGAATTAACAACCTTTTAAAGCTCAATATCTTTTTAAGTGCGAAAAAAAAATAAAAACAAGATTCCTCCCATAAGACCTGTGTTATTTCTCCTCTACATTAGTCATATATATACTGAGGTCACGTGGTAGAGGCATAATCCCAATAGCGGCGATGGAAGTGCCCCCCTCTTTTTTGAACCTATGTGATTGGCTCATGACGTGTATGGTTTCAACGCATGTAAGCTACAGCCCACAAGCATAAGCGCTAAACACAAACACAGAGCAAACGCATAAAGGCACTGGCTTTTTTTCCATCGTGCTATGTGTTATGCGTTTTCGGGAGAGAGAGGATACCGTCCTATAGTCAGCTATATAGTGCGTAGCAGACAAGAAGTGCATACTTACCTATATATTGACTGCTACAGGACGGTATCCCCTCTCTCCCGAAAACGCATAGGCACGATGGAAAAAAAAGTCAGTGCGCCTTTATGCATTTGCTCCGTGGTTAGGGCTTGTGCTTATGGGCTATAGCTTACATGCGTTGAAAGCACACAGTGGCACACACGTCATGAGCCAATCAAGAGTTCGGTTTGCACGGCCATCTGCAACGGACGTCATTCAGCATTCAGCACACAGCACAGTCAGCACATGGGATCTACTAAGGGCGCGTCTACTTTCTCGTAAGTGCATTGTTCCTTTAGTTTATAGCTCCGCCTGATCATACACTTTTATCCAACCTCTCACCAACCTAACAAAACTTTGAAACTACTTCCTAATTCCTCTTATCCAACCCCTTCTTTCCAATCCCTCTCCCAATATCATGACCTTCACCCACCCCACGGCCTCGACCATCGCCGCGGCCGCCGCCATAATTGGCGAACTGCCGTCAGCTAATGCAAACAAGGCCGATTCTCCTCTCCTAGTCATGGTCAAATCTAAATCTAAAAAGCGCAAAAATAAGAGCTCAACGAACTTCTTAGCCCCCTCCAAAAAACTGCAAGTAGGCTCCGAACCCTCACATTCAGACAACCAAAACGACATGGAGACAGAAGACGCTTACATAGATGGATACGACTCTGAATCCTACTCTGCTTCCTCTCACGCCTCCCTAACCCTTAAAAATAAGCATGCTCCTTCCCCCGACACAAAAAACAAAATTCTGCTCAAGTCTCTCTACGAAAAATCCTTTGGCACTCTTCCCGCCAAAACCATCACCACCACAGCTTTAAACCCCAAACTGACCCGCACAAGCCCCAATACACAAGCTCCGACTTCTACTCTCAACGCCTAACAAAGTCTCCCATCAGCCACCCTTCCATCCCTTGATTGTAATAAAGCTGCACAACTCTCATCAAAAAACAGAACCCCTCCTTCCCCCAATCATATGCCTCATCATATCCCCCCGGTCAGCAACTTAACAATCATAACCAACACTCCTCTCTCCTCGCTCAAAGACAATCTAACGGCAAACACCATTAGCAAAAGTTCCCAATCACTAAACCTGCAATACAGCAAAACTCACCAAGGCCCCTTCGTTGTTTTTCTTGAACCTATCGACTCATCCAAACTAACAGGCAAGCTTCACCCTACCACAATAGAAAGACTAATAGCTGCCACACACAAAGGCAAAATTACATCCATTGCCTCTTCTGGGCCTCATAAAATCTCTGTCACCATGATCGACGGAAAATCTGCCAACCAACTTCTCTCAAACCCGCTTCTCTCCATCAATATATACCACATCCTATATCCCTACCTCCTCCATACTAATCTCCTTTATCGGCCAATCACTCCCCTCACACGTCTATCTCTACAGTGTCAGGCACACCATAGAGCCATTCGTACAACCCATCAAGTCCTGCTTCAAATGCTTTAGATACGGTCATATCCAAAAGCTCTGCCGCTCTAAAAATACACACTGCCTACACTGTGGCCTCAATGCCCATCCCAACGGCACAACCTGTCCCAAAATCGATTCTCCCACATGCATCAACTGCAAAGGCCCCCATAACCCACTAGACAAAACTTGCCCAGAATACATCTTCAAACAAAAGGTACACCAATTCGCCGCCACAAACAACACATCTCTTAAAAATGCTAGCTCTTACTTGAAAAAATTCTCTCCACCATCTCACTAAGGCCGCCAATCTCTTATCAACCCTTCCCATCCTGCACACCACATCCCTCCTCTACTAAACCAATTTTTCCACCCTTCTTTTCCCACTTTTCCACATTTCCCTAGCAACCCAATCTCCACTCTTCATTCCCCATCCCCCATATCTCTCCCTCTGATGTCACAACCACAACCTCATCCCACTTTTACCTCTACTCCTCCTACGCCCAACTCCCTTTCACTATCCCCCTCCCTATCTTATGCCTCAGCCTGCTCCCGACACCAAAACAAACTACCCACGCTCCAAATCCACAACAACTCTTCCTCACCACCTACCTCCCTCCCCGGGTTCGCTTCATCACTCTCTTCAGCAAACTCTCTCAACTCATTGCTAACCTCAACTGATTCCTGCTCTCTACCCCTCAAGACGGCTCACTCCTCACCTCACATACTCCCTCCTAACAATAACAACACACTTCAAAGCCTTACACAAATTATCTCTTCACTGAAAAAGCTCGTCAATAATATCCTCGGTCCACTATTCTCCACACTAGGCCAATCCCAAACACTATTACCCATCACTTACTCCCTAGAACTCCTCAACAACAATTTAAATTCCTATGGCTACACAACTCAACATTAGACAAGGTCTCCGAATTCTCCAGTGGAACTGCACCTCTTTCCACCAAAAACGAACCCATATCCAACTACTCTCTCATAAATACGATATCATCATCCTTCAAGAAACGAGACTGTCCCCTCATCACAACCCATCTCTGAGAGGCTTTACGATTATTAGAAAAGACAGGATCGACAAGAATGGCGGTGGCATAGCCATCTGCATCCGTAACAACATCACTTTCAGAATCCTTGACACCTTTTATAAACCCAGGATCTTAGAAACCCTAGCCATCTCCATCCACACCACTAACCAACCTTTATATATAGTTGCACTCTACAGACCCTCCTGTAAACCACTAAGGCCCTTCTTTAACCATTACTGGAATTCTCTCTTAAGCACACTACCTGACCTAACCCACTCTATCATCTGTGGCGACTTTAACTGCCACAATCCAGCATAGGGCCGTTCCCAGTTATGCCCAATAGGCGATTTCACCCTTAAACAATTCTCCAACCTCAACCTTCAATTCCTCAATGATGGTTCCCCAACATATACAAGCCGCTCCAACCCACTTTATCAATCCTGCATTGACCTCACATTCGTCTCTCCATCTCTCCACACCATTAGTAACTGGAAAACTGTGTGTGATAACTTCATAAGCGATCACTTCCCAATCAACATTACTTTGATGGGCCTGACCCTCCCTTCTACCCCTCAAAACTCCCACAGATTCAACTTCAAAAAAACAGGCAAAGATGACTGGCTTGCCTTCAGGAATAACCTTCGGACGTTCACGTTCGATGATGCCCCTTCACAATCAACCCTAGACAAATACAGCTTTCTCATCTCAAAAATTACAGACGCCGCCTCTCTCATTGCTAGTCAACCTTCTCCCTCCTTCAGCCACACCCAACGCCCTAAACTTAACCACCCCCCATGGTGGAACTCTGACCGTGCAGAAGCCGACAAAAATCGGAAATCTGCCCTCAGAAACTTTAGACGCAACCCTAACCTATACGATTCCCTTGTCGAAGCCGAAAGATTCGCCAAGGCCACCTTCAAAAAACATAAATCCGAATCCTTTAAAAAATTCTGCGAAAGCCTTTCCCCAACATCCTCACCAACTGTCATTTGGAACACTGTCAAAAGATTTCGGCACAGAGCTCTTCCAGCCTCTTCCTCACCCACAAACCAGTCAAACATAGATACTATGAAAAATCTCATACATTCTCTCTGCCCCGACTCATGCTTTTTCCCAAACTTATCCTCCTCTTTCTCAGCCACACAGGATACCTTAAACTTCTTCTCCAAACCTTTTACTGAATCCGAAATTAACAGCGCTATCAATAAAACCCGTTCCAAACCTAATTCCGCTCCAGACCTTGACAAAATTGACAACATTATCATCAACAACGTTCCTAGCAATATTATCACATCCCGCCTCAAACTATTCAACGAAATATTCTCCCAAGCTCTTTTCCCAAAAGCCTGGAGAGAGTATCTTATCTTTTTCATTCCAAAAAATGCATCCAACAAATATAAACCAATATCTCTAGCCCAATCTCCTCTTACACTCCTTGAAAGAATGACCCAT